TTTGTTAAAACAGAAATAAAATAGTTCTGACTTGTCTCATAGTTTGTAAAAACAATCAAATCACTTTTACAATTACATTTGGCTCATTGCTCGATTTCCAATGTAAGTGAATTTCTGAATACATTTTTTTGTTTGTATATGTTTTCCTGTTTGTGATCTGTGCTTTTGCAGTGTAAAGATGTTGCTTGACACTGTTGAATTTGGCCTGTAAATCTGATTTTGGAGTAGGAAATTGCTTATTCAGATGACTCAGACATTATATCTGACCAAATGATCTAGTTAACAGTCATAAAAGCCTGGTAGTGCGGATGTAGTCATAGAGCCAAGCTCACACGGCATCTACAGCAGCAGAACTCCTGTAAACCACAAAGTTCTGCATGTCGCCATTGCGTGCATATTATCATACTCTCATTTCACCATAATCTGTTATGCAGAATTCTGCAGTTTCCCCCCCAAACATCAGCACAGTCATGGTTTATCAGAGCTGTTTATCAGAAGTGTTCTAGATTACGCAGGTATTACAGAATAAATTAAACACATATGCTTTCTGCCCGTCACTGATTGTCTAATCTCAGCAAAAATATTGAAAACAGCTCATTTAAATTAGGTTGTCACCACATCCTTTGGCCACAGAATCTGGCACCACCTCTACATCTGCTATTATCAGTCCTATCACTAGTGTTAGTAACACATAAAGCTGTTGGTTCAGGGTGTAGTCAGGGAATTTTTGTATTTACAACATGCCTTTTTCCCAATAGAGATCATTCTTGTTAAATAAACACAGATAAGGGCATGTAAAGATGTATTGTAGTGTGTGTGCATATTTCCGTCTCAATTTAGAGATTGACTGGTTCTGATTCTGGTTTTTACTCTATTTATTAGAATTCGCAATATGGGTTGTTTTTATTTTTTGTTACATTTTAAGCAATGTTATGAGATTGCTCGGGCATTCTGAGTATAGTTTTTATCATGTTCAAATACTCCACCATCACTTAGATGTTCATCAACTAGAATTCATAATGTAAGTTATTCTTTTATGTAATTGATTATTATTTGTAATTTATTTTGTTACATTTTAAGCATTGCTATGATGGTTGCTAAGGTGTTCGGAGTGGTTTTTAGCATGTGTTCTAATATTTAACTTTAAATATAAGTAATAGTAACATCAAGCGCCACTACAGCCCATATTATTCACACTTTTAAAAAAAATAAACAAAAAATGAAAAGATAAATACATTTTGCCCTCCTAGCAGCTTTTCCCCCCACAGTTTGTGAAAACAATGTAAAACAATGACTCACTGAAGCTGTGAGGGTGTGTTATCAATTTTTGGTTGCAGTGAAAAGCACATGATGCCCAAAATGCAAACACAGCCGTTTCTCTTACATTCACCCTTTCATTCATCACATTTAAAAATACAATCTTTGATACAGACAATAGTTCATTATGTTAAATAGGTTTAACATCTGACATTGACTGGCCATATTAGGTTATGATCAGAGTTCATTCAGCCTAAATGATTCATCATTGATCAGTCTCAGGCCAGCTGAGATAAATCTGTATTAAAAGCCAATTAAACACAGATTTACCCAGTTTACCCTATTCTGATGTGGGTAATCGATAGATAACATGACGAACAACACAATAAATGTGAATATAGGCTACTGCATGGAAAATGTATATGTAACTTTGTCATTAATGGAGTTTTCACTACTTTTAATCACTTTTTTGCAGGTCACTTAGATAGTTGATGTGACAAAAACTATAATTGTGATTTAAATGTTATTCAAAATAAATGTGTTCTTTTTAATAACATGTAATACTTTTGTCTCATGTCACGTTTGGGTATATTTTGGGTCCTTGACGAACGATCCTGATGATCTCAAGGGGTTTCCCATTTTGATACAGTCAGAAGCCATGTAAGCAGCTGAAGACGAGCGTTCACCTGAAGTCTCTGACGGTCGTGCAGAATTCCCCTGCTTACCTGAGCGTCTGAGCTCCAGAGGTTCATTCATATTATGCTTATTTTCCAGGGCGGGAAATGACTCACTGACATCTCTGTCTTCCATGACTCAGTGACAGCTGTATGGCCAATTGTTTTGGCAGTGACATAAATTTTGTGTTTTGCTGCTTCAGTATTTGTAGATTTTTCCCACATGTTTCTATGGTATACTGAAAAACAATGATAAGCATATCATACGTTTTAAAGGCTTTTAGTTGTTCTTCATAACCTATGCAATTTGCTCTGGCATGCTGGATATTAGCTTCTGGGCCAAATCCTGACTGATGGCCATCCATTCTTGCCTTATTAGTTCTCGGAGTTGATCACAATTTGTGGGTTTCTGCTTGTCCACTCGTCTTTTGAGAACTGACCACAGGTTCTCTATGGGATTGAGATCCAGGGAGTTATTTGTAAAAAGTTCATTTTTTGGCCAATGAAGCTTTTAGCAATTATCTAAAATGCATGTGCTCACTCTACACAATAATCTAGAAACAATGTGAATGAACACCACAACAGCTTAAGCAGCAAACTTGGCAAAACACAAAATTTATGTCACTGCCAAAACCTTTGGCCATGACTGTATGTGTGGGACAGAGTTCACTATGGTGGCGCCCTCTACTGTTACAACAATGATCTGCAGCCGCCAATGAAGCTTTTAGCAATTATCTAAAATGCATGTGCTCACTCTACACAATAATCTAGAAACAATGTGAATGAACACCACAACAGCTTAAGCAGCAAACTTGGCAAAACACAAAATTTATGTCACTGCCAAAACCTTTGGCCACGACTGTATGTGTGGGATAGAGTTCACTATGGTGGCGCCCTCTACTGTTACAACAATGATCTGCAGCTAGCGTTTTTACGATGGCCAGGTGTGTTTTACCATTTCACCCTCAACTCATTAATCGTAGCCAGGTGTTCGTATTTAAAATGTGGTTGTGGCACACATACATTTTCATATTTTTGCTGAACTACTTAACGAATATTATTAACGTGACAGCCTTCTCGCGTAATGTGCAAGTGTTTACAATCCGGATATGTTTGTAAAATAACGAAATCTGTGGAATTAAAAGGAAGTTTTTAACGATGGCCAGGTGTGTTTTACCATTTCACCCTCAACTCATTAATCGTAGCCAGGTGTTCGTATTTAAAATGTGGTTGTGGCACACATACATTTTCATATTTTTGCTGAACTACTTAACGAATATTATTAACGTGACAGCCTTCTCGCGTAATGTGCAAGTGTTTACAATCCGGATATGTTTGTAAAATAACGAATCTGTGGAATTAAAAGGTTAAAAGTTAAATATTAAAAGTTTTTGTTGTATTTAATACAGTAAGTACATTAATTCTATTTGTTGAATTATTAAAACAATGTCTATATGTTATAGTATAATTAAAACTAATATCACTGTTAAGAAATGCTTAGGTTAAGTTAGGTTTTAGTTTTAACAGCATAGGCTAAAATGTTACTATGCATATATATATTTAAAATAATGTTATATTTTAAAGTACTTTTATTAAAAAAATCAAAGATTTGTGTTTTCTAAAGCTGTGTATAAATACTGTCAACATGTCTGTACGTTCCAACATAATCGTTCAAAAATAGGAATGTTGTGTAGGCCTATTATAAAAAATGTTTTGCTTACAGACATGAATCACATTAGAAGTACGTACAAGCACAAGCAAACTACAATAAATCAAAACAATGTTTAATGTTTTGGCAACCAATTTTAATGAGCCAAAAAAACACAAAACACATCCATCATTACACGGCCTTTACAGGACAATGCTGGGAGGGTTAGCCACAATATTCCATTATTATAACTCATAATTTCAGTCATTAAGCATGATTAGAGGTCCAAAAATGTATTGCCTATTATCTAAAGAATTGAGTCAGTGGATTAGACAATATACTGCAGTGACAGTGCCAGTATTTTTGCTGTTGTTAGTTCGTTTATACTCAGCGAAAATATTGACCTCTTACTTTTATTTGAATCATTAGATATGTGACAGAATATGTAATTCGTAGTTAGGCCTATTTAATATAATGGGCAACAAGGAATAAACTACAGTTTAATCTAAGGCACCCTCAGTGATACAAACACGACTTTAACGGGAACACTGTGCCTCACGCCTCATCGAATTATGTAAGATTTTCTTTTTATCAACTGTGCTTCACATAGAGATGATTGTGTTCTTGTTGAACCATTAACTTGGCACAATACATAAAACAAATGATGAATCGATATTAATAGCCAACACGTCTTCATACATAACCACACTTCACTGTTGTTTTTCTGACCGCAAGCGCGGCTTGTGGCAGTTTATGTAGTCAATATTAGAGAGGAGAACATAATGAATAGGCCTATCTAGCTTATGAAACATTCATTTACTAATGATAGTAAGGTTTTATTTGATTTTAATTAATTTACTCTCGACTGAGTAACAGCATTTTGATATCTTATCTCAGCTCAATGTAATTAGCACTCATAATAATTCCTTCATAAAATGTTCATATTAACACTATACATAATTAGTTTACCTAAAATGAGAATAAATTAAATCTATTCAATTACATATTGTTGACAAGAGGGGCTTGAAATGTTTGAAGGGCAAAAGTCATGCTTAACTATTTATCTTTATACAACTGTTAGTTCCGGTGTGTCCTTGAATCAATTGTTTTGAGTCACTCCTCCAAGTGATTCATTCAAAAGTGAGTCACTGAATCATTCGCTCAAGAACGCTGACTCATAAGTGAGTGGCTTAATGAACGAGTCATTGATTTACTGACTCACTGAATTTTGCAGAGCAATTCATGACTTTTGATAATCTGTTCTACTTTAATTAATAATATTATGATGTAATATGTGTAACATGGAAACGATTATGTAACATGCTACTGTATCTCTGAAACACACCCGAGTACAATGACCATTATTACAGTAAAATGTATTACAGTAATATCTCATCCCCATCTTCAGGATGAAAAAGATCATACTTTACTCCCAACTTATTAACACTTATTCATTTTTCTGATCTGTTTAATTTGACCTTCATAATCTCTAAAAATGTAGAGACAAGTAAAAATGTAGCATAATCTCAGGTTAGGTACATTAAATTCAAGTACAAAATATGAGATGCCAATCTGACTAGATATGATCCATCAAACCTATATTAGTTTCCCTCATGAAGGCAACAAAGGAATACCAGCCAGAATCAAATCCTAGTTTTGGCCGCTTCTTTCTCGCTAATTAGACCCTCAGATTTATAAGACAATTTTTATACATATTATAGTGTGCAAAATCACAAAACGACAAACCGCTCATCTAACCTATAATAATGACAAAAGCTTTCCTTCATTTGGCAGCTTTCTCAGTAATGCATTTGGCAAACAGAGTGGGAAGGGGAACAAGGGAATAAGGGGGAACCAAACCGACAGCCGCTGGTCACTTCCTGCTGCCATTGAAGCTCATTGGCTGGACCTCTGCCTTTCTGAGGTCTGTGATTGGTCCATCTTCCTCTTCTGAGGTCCCTTTCAACTTGCCTTCTGAGATTCAGTGTGCAGTATCGGCCAAACGCCACATAAAAACTTCACTTTTGGTCTGTGCTTGAGGTAGGTCAAACGAATCTGAAGGCTATGGCAAAAAAAAAAAATGATAAGCATATTTACATGCATCATCCATTCAAGCAACTTAATTTTTCATAGTAACGTACCTGAGGAGTATGTGTAAATATGAACCCAGGCCTGTTAGAATGTGCCACCAGGCATGAAGCTGCGTAACTGCTCCGACCACAGGGGGCAGCCGCTGCCGTGTTGCTCTGAACCAAACACAGTGACAAACAATGACCTCTTCAGGTTTTCATCTTATTTTGTCTGCTCTCATTTTGCTTGGTCAACCACAGAACACAACTCAAGAACACAACAGATCTAAATAATGTTCTAAGTAATATTAATATACAAAATCTTCCAATATTTACAGGGGGTTTTGTAAACTAAAATGCTTTAGAATTTAGAATGCCATTTCAGTAAAACTAAAAAATCTTTCATCAAAACTCTCTCTCTCTCTCTATATATATATATATATATATGTGTGTG